GACCCGTAGTGGGAAGGAGACTAGCCCCTACACCACTGAGCAGCAAGAAAAGATGGCCGCCTTAGTCAGAGAGAATAAGGAGAGGAAAGAGCGTGAAAAGCAAGCCAAGCTAAAGGCTATCGCTGACGAGCAGGCGACGAAGATGAAGAGATTGGAGGAGGAGATGAAGAGGGTACAACAGGAGGAGGAAGAAAGAAGGAAGGCTGCCGAAGCAGAAGCGGCAGCAGAAGAAGAGAAAAAGAGGATGAGAATTGAGAGTGGGGAAGGAAGTAGTGGTGGCACGATGAAGTGGGAGACATATACTGAGCTGGAGAAGAAGATCAGCGAGTGGGTCGCTAATTTATCGTTGGGGGAAGACGAGGAGGCGGAGTCCTATGTGACTAAGGATGAGAAGGCTGCGCTGGCCGCTGAACTAGCGGCCATGATAGACCCAATGGAACGAAGAGAGAGGGAAGACGAGCAAAAGTTAGCATGGAAGTTGAGAATGAAGAGGGAGAAGAAGAGGAGGAGAGAGGAAGTGAATAAGATGAACGCCGCAGTGGCAAAGGTGCAGGAGTATAGAGCGGAGGTGCTGGCCCAGCCAGATGATAAGGCCTAGTGGGACAAAGTACTGGGCTATCTAGAGGTGTTGAGCAAGGCCTGGATGGAGGAGCGCCAGGCAAGCTGGTTTCAGGATGTAGCGTTGAGTGCCATGCGGTCCGGGTTCAGGGATTTTGCGCGCGAAATCGTCACCCATATTGGGGGTGAAGTCAAACAATTGAGAGACAACGTAGGGAAGTTTTGTGAGGGCGCCATTCAGGGTGCCAAAGCTGCAGCCGCTGTAGAAGGAGAGGCCAGACCCCGTAAGGACCCAGTGAAACTTAAGTTCCAAGATGCGTACGGGGGGAAGAAGGACGAGAACTTTGAGAACTGGGAGGCCAGTGTCAATAGTTACATTTATTTACAGCATATCCTGATGGAGGAGCAAGTCCTCGTGGCCCTCCAGGCCCTGAAGGATGAAGCGGCTAGCTTTGCCAGGTCTCTCGCTCGTACAGCCGGTTGTGAAAACAACCTGGTTGCATATTCCAAAGTCACTCCTCTTTCCCAATTCCTCAAGCTCCTCAAGGAGCGGTTCGCTGACCCAACGCGAGGCATTAGAGCCTCTGATAAGCTCCAAACGATCCACTCCCGGTAGTGGAGGAGTGCCAAGGCACTCGAGGGTACCATGGACGACTTGGTAGCCGTCCCGGACCACGGGGTCACTGAGCCCCAGCTGGCCTGTGAGCGAGGATGCCCTGTGAGAAGGTCGCTACCTCCACGTACGAGAGAGAACTCTACGCTCTCAGGCAGGCTTTAGACCATTGGAAGCACTATTTGCTTGGGAGGCACTTCAAAGTGTATTCTGACCGTGAGACACTTCGTTGGCTAAAGACCCAGGCCAAGATGACACCTAAGTTGACTAGGTGGGCCGCAGAGATAGACCAATTTGACTTTGAGCTCAAGCCAGTGAAGGGCAAGTACAATGTAGTGGCGGATGCTCTAAGTAGGAGATCAGACTACTTTGGAGCCGTAGTACATTATCTGGATATAGGGAGAGACCTGCAGGAGAAAGTGAAACAAGCGTATACGCAGGACCCTATCTATAACGACCTGCTAAAGAGAGTTAGAGAGACCCCAGAGACCGAACCAGATTACCGCACTACAGACGGGTTGCTGTTTGAGAAGACTAATGTGTTTGACTGCATGTGCGTTCCCAACAGCGAAGAGATTCGTAGTCTAATTCTAGGGGAATGTCACGATACTGAGGGACACTTCGGTTGGCAAAAGACGTTAGCCAATCTGATGCGTGCGTACACATGGCCAGGGATGAAGAACGACTGCATAGAGTATGTCCGCGGTTGTAAAGTGTGCCAGAGGAATAAATCTACTACACGCGCGCCCCTAGGTCTTCTCAGACCCTTGCCTATTCCGGATCAGCCGGGAGACTCGGTATCCATAGACTTCATGGACACGCAAGTCAAGAGCAGACATGGTAAGACCCAAGTCATGGTCATAGTCGACCGTTTTAGTAA